ATCAGCTGCTCTAATTCTTGCTGCTGACCCTGAATGAAATCTAACTCTGCTTGTAGTCTCTGCTGATCCACCTGACATTAAAGAATAGTATGTGTATCATTTACACTGTTCAAAATAAGTAACCCTTTATTCAATTAACAATCAAGAATTTCCAAACAGCTGCAATATGCTGACATTTTATGAAAGCAGTTATTCTGGAATCTTGACACTGGTTTATCTAAGTTAATTAGTGATGCCAGAAATATGGGAACATTACAAAACTCATGTGTGGCTGTAAAAAATTATTTAAATCTACATGTATCTGAATTTCTATTCTTAACATATGAGATACTAAAACAAACTGAAATTCCAGTTTATTTGTAACTCACACCATTTTTATGTAATAATTAATTATCTTCCAAGTATCTGGCATAATTGGACATACTATAGATACTTACTCCTTCTGGAAAAAGCCACAACTGCATTTAGAATACATGCTTCTATTTCTTCTAAGATGATAATATCACAAAGATCATAGGGCATTAGGACCAGAATAATTACATACATGACTACTTTTTAAAAAATATGGTTAAATCCATGCAACATCTCGACATCAACTGTAACTCCCACGTACCTCCACAGTGTTAAGGGTGTCACGAAGCTGCTGAACCTGGTCATGCCCTTTCTGGAGAAGCTGGTCCCAAGCATTGACATGTGCAGCCTGCCTCATCAGTCGCTCCTCCTGTTCTCGCATCTCAGATACCCACTTGTTTACCTTTTCTTCTAATCCTCTTACACTGAGTGTGGGAGTAGCAGCTGCTGGTGCTGCTGTGATAGATGCACTGCTTGTGCTGAAGGGGATATCCAATGTTTGTGAATGAAAGTGGAAAGGAATTTACAAACATTTTTCTACATTATGATATATAACATAATTCTAGAAAAATAAAAGCAATGTGGATAACAGAAAAACAGTATTTTAGCTTATAGGCTATCTGCACGTTATTTAGGAACATTCTAATGTTGATCATTCCCAACAACTAACTATATCATCTGTCAAATAAAGGCAAACATAATTTTAAGTTTCCTACTGTATGATCTTGTGTAGTTACTTCAGAATTTAATGACAATTCAGTTACTTCTTTATGTCCTTAGATTATCAAACCTCATGTAATCTTCTTGGTTTTGTGTGTTTCATCAGTTCTGGAACATGTTCCCTTTAATTTATTAACATTAGTTCATTCCACTGTATGACACAAAATGTTTAGCATTTTAGTTTATAAGTTTTAAGAAGAAACTTGGTTTGAATTTATAGCTGACATCAAGGAATATCATAATAAAACATGTCATGTACCATTTCTTTTGTAATACAACACTTCTAATGTTTTCTTCTTCCATTTTGTAACTGGATCTATGAAACAGGAAACCTGCAGTACCCTCCCATAAATTAGCTTGATATGGACTTATATGTCATGAATAATCAAGGTTATAGGTTAATTGAAACATCGGCACTACTTGTTATTGGATTGTATTTGGTTTGCATTCTGTTTCTTAAATCTTATTTATTCATTATATTTATATATATATATAGACATTTTTTTAAAAATCAGTCTATGCAACTTTCTAGCCTATCTACAAATGTTATACCTCTCAGATGAAGATTATATATGGCAAGCTTTTTTCATATTAAAACATTTCTATCTATCAACCACTAAAAAATAAATGCAAACATCAAATGCAGAAGTGACCATGAAAATTTGGAGTTTGCCATAAGACAATCCGAGTAACTGATATGGGAACTGATCATATAAACAAGTTCATTACAGCAGCAAGAGAGCAAAACTGTTTGGTGAGTGAAATCTTCTAGGGATAGCAGGCAAATGACTTAAGTGCTAAATATTGCCCCTTCTATAGAAAACAATACTAATAAGAGCATTACATATCCCATCCACCCTCAGGCTATGCACAGGTGGAGTGTGTGGGTATGAGGGTATCTTATAAAGAGCAGCATAAAAATGAACTGTATGCATCATAATAACATGACATGAATGACTTCTCTGTAGGTGCAATAGCATTTCACTTGGAGCCAATACCAAGTCAGCCATGATGTGAACTAAACATCATCTAGAGGAATTAGATTAATTTTGCTAGCATGTAAAAGGTTCTAAGTGCCCATTTATGAAGCTATCCATGTTTAAACAAAATTAATAAGACAAAAAAGCAATGGACAGCACATGCACTTATTGCTAATGCATTTACATAATCTGCTCAGCTGCTGTCGTATTTCTGTAATTTTTTTTTACCAATACCTTACCTAGTAGCTGTTGTAAGAGTAGCCAATGCAGGAGTTGATGCCGGCACACTAGATGTTGCTGTTGATGTTGCTGAGGAGGGAAAATAAAGATCAGACCAAGAGTTTTGCTCCTTATAACTTATAACCATTATATTGTGACTAAAAAGGTGAAAAAATAAACAAAGAATAAGTACAGTTCTCTTTCTCTTTTCCTGCCTTTCTACCCTTTACTGTACTTCTCTTTCTTTCTCCACACATTTTTGTTTCCATGTCTCTTTCTCTCTTTCCTACTCAAATTCTCTCTCACCTCTTATCTCCATGCTTTTATCTCTTTGTTTTCTTTCTCTCTATTTATATAATCCTTTCTCTTCTCTGCCCTCTACCTATACCTCTCCCCCTTGTATCTCCTCCACCTATATCTCCCTCCTTCCTCTCTACATATATCACCCTATCTCCCCAATACTTGTATCCCCCAGCTGGATTTTATGCCTTTAATATTTCCTATAAGGGTATGAATAGGTCATGAGATCCCACTTTGATGGCTGGGTAATGCACATGACGTGGTGTTAAGGCAAGAGTTCTAAAGGGGAGCTAGGTGGGTCTCTCGTTGGTATAGGTCAGTGGTTGACCCATCTTGCTGGCTGCTCAGTGTGAAGTGTAGGAAAACTCCAGATAAGAAATGGGCTGGGAATGTTGCTGTTACTATAGAACATGGTATGGCCCAATTTAGTCATTGCACAATATGTGAAGGTTAAGGGCCAGGGCTGCAACATTCCTCTCTTTTTCCCTCCTTTATAACTTAATTTCCCTCTCTCCTCTCTACTTTTATCTCTTTACTTAGATTTTTTGTCTGTCTGCCTACCTCTGTATCTATCTTTACTACTTACATCTCCATCTCATCTGTCTGTCTGTGTTTGTATTTGAAATTTCTCTCTTTTTTCTCTGTCTCTCTGGCTGTTGGTCTGTCACTGTTTTCCAATCTATATTTCTGTCTGTTGTTCTTTCTCTTCCATCTACCCATCTATCTGTTTGCTTGTGTGCATTACCCAATGAAGCCCTAGAGCTCAACCAAGGTACATCCAGTGCCAATTACCCTCCCCCACTCCTTTTCTCTCCTGTAATCCTTGCCTCCATCCCAGGCATCACCAAATCACATTATGAACTCGGGTGAGCAGCTTTGTTCCTCACTCCCTGCAAGCAAATGAATGCAATTAACATCCAAGTGTCTCATTTGAAGCACATGCACATCACTCACTGGTAAGAGGGAAGCCAGAGGTTAGTGAGGGTGCAGAGGAAGCAGGCTTAGCAAGGAGAGGGGATGAACCAAGAGCTGGAACTGCACCAAACGTTGAAGTTGTGGTGTTTCCTGCCAGTTTCATGCCTGGTGTAGGTAAAGAAAAATTAAACATTTCAGTGTCTTCTTCCCTCATCTCTTCTGGGAAGAGGGTCGTTGCATAAAATTCTATACAATATATTTTGATGGTCCAAGTTGTTAATAAATAAATCAGTCTAGGCTATCAAGACATGCCAACTTACATTACTTGCATCAAAATTTCTAAATGGAATATGAAAGGCATTAAATGAAACTATCAAATCCCCATCTATAAGAAATCTGTTTCAACAAAATATCATATTTTCTCTATATCATTAAACACATTGTCTCTTTCTCTGTGTGTGTCTGCACATCTAAATCATCCAACAAGATTCTAAAGTTCAAATGAGCTATATTCCAAATATTTTCAATATAGAAGTTTAAATATCCTAATTTGGAGGACTCTAAATATCTCTTAATTAAAAACAGGTAATCATGCCTATTTATGTATCCCTTCCAAAAAAGAATAAATAATAAAGAAGAGAAGAAAAAATACCACCCACCCACACCACCTACACTCTCTCTCTCTCACACTCTCACACACACACACACACAACAACACACACACACAACACACACACACAAACACACACACACACACAACACACACACACACACAACACACACACACACACACACACACACACACACACAGAGAGAGAGAGAGCCTACAGAAGTTCAAAGTGTAGGCATATGTATTAAAAAAAAAAAAAAAAAAAAAAAAAAAAAAAAAAAAAAAGGGAAAATCTAAGCTTTAAACTTAAAATGCAAAACTTAATGTCCCTTTCACAATATGGAGTATCCAACAAAAAATATGGTCCAAAAGATGGACAACTCCAGACAAACTCTTGCTTTAAATCTGAGATATGACACTAAACAAAGCAAAGATATGGAGATACAAGTCAAGCTGCAAATCCCAATAATTACCTACCAATTACGAATACACATGCATGAAAATGTAAGAGGGATTTGCAGTACTTGCACTTGCATAAATAATGTACCTGGTACACCTTTTACAATCTTTTCAAATATCTACTCAATCTCAGATGAATATATAATATGCATAACAATGCATGCATCTCTAAAACAGTTGGGAACAATTTCCTTTACATCAATATCAAATGACACCTTCAGAAGAAAAAACAAAGGTATCTGACCCAAGATAGATGGTGTGGCAGCAGCTGTGACTGGAGCAGGTGCTGCAACTCCACTGTTAAAAATTCCACCTGTTGTGGCACCAGAGGCTGCTGGCAGACTTGGTGCAGGTGCTGTTGTAACACTTAGAGCTTGACCGAGCAAAATTAGAAGCATTAAAATGGTTCACAACTGTACCTGGGTTAGTAAGCAGACAAGAACTGGCAACAAATTTGGTCCATACACTACAGCACGTGTCATTATATATAGAGCTTTATGTGAGTAAGACTAGGTCAAGCAAACAACATGGATTATTTTAGACTACAATAGAGTGTTAAGCATCAATTCAAACATCAACAATTTACGAGTTTCTAACTACAGCATCATAAAGAAATAATGTTCTTGTGCTTTTACAATTATACACATGGGCAGAGGAAGTTAACATGTGCTGTAAAGACTCAAAGCCAATTGTCTCATTACAGTTAGAAAAAGAAGTGAAGATCCATCTACAATTCAAAGGCTATGGAATATGCAAGACAGATATCAATATTTTGCCATCTTATTTCCCATCTTCTTACCGTTACCGAGCCAGTAGCTGTTGCACTTGTAGCAGTTGTTGAAGAGCTTAATGTTGATAAGAGTGATGGCATTCCTCCTGTAGTGTCTGGAAAATAATAGCCTAAAATTATTTCTATTCCTAAAAAATTGTTTAGATTTTCTTGGAAATGCAAATTTCCTTCCTATATTCTTGTTCTTTTTTGTCTTTAATACAAATCTTTCTAATAGCTGATTGAGAACCCTTTGCAAGCCCCTAAAAATAAAATTACTAAAAGTTTGCTTTGAAAAACTTACTAGGATAAGACTTTGCACCAACAGTAAGACCTCCTCCTGTTGCTGCCGGTTTAGCTGTAAGGGAAAACAATGTTGAAGCTGAAGATGTTGCAGCCTGCAATGTAGGCTGTGATGCTGGTGTAGAACTTGGAAGAGAGAAAGAAAACCCTGAAGATCCTCCAGAAGAAGTTGCTGTTCCAAGTCCAGGAGTTGCTGTTCCAAGTGCAGGAACTGCTGCTCCAAGTGCAGGAGCTGCTGCTCCAAGTCCAGGAGCTGCTGCTCCAAGTCCAGGAGCTGCTGCTCCAAGTCCAGGAGCTGCTGTTCCAAGTCCAGGAGCTGTTGTTCCAAGCCCAGGAGCTGTTGTTCCAAGTCCGGAAGCTGCTGTTCCAAGTCCAGAAGCTGCTGTTCCAAGTCCGGAAGCTACTGTTCCAAGTCCGGGAGCTGCTGTTCCAAGTCCAGGAGCTGTTGTTCCAAGTCCGGAAGCTGCTGTTCCGAGTCCAGGAGCTGCTGTTCCGAGTCCAGGAGCTGCTGTTCCAAGACCTCCGGTATTAGCAGGTGTTGAAGTGGGTGTGAAGCTGAAGTTGCTTCCACTACTGAAACTAAATCCACTCCCAGCTGTTGAGGCTGCTGGAGGATTTCCTAGTAGGCTGCCACCAGAAGCTGTACTGGCTGGATTACTGAAAAAAGAACTTCCCATGGGTGCAGCACTTGCTGTAGCAGGAGCAGCAGGATGGCTAAAGCTAAATCCTCCTCCCAGTGGTGCAGCAGAGGTTGCTGGTTTGCCAAAACTGAATCCTGAGCTTCCTCCAGATGAACTTGTAGCAGGTGAACTGAAGCTGAAACCACTGCTTGGTGCAACAGCAGCCGCTGTTGTTGTTGCTGCCTGAGCAGGTGTCCCGAAGCTAAAGCCACTAGAACCACCCCCACCTGCAATAGTTACAAACTCCAAATTAATAATCCTTTCATGAGGGCCAATTAATCAATTGCCTCTAGGGTATATTGGGGTATGCTTGGCCTCCACTCCAGGGAGTATTTGCAGCCAACTGGGCTCACCTCCTGGGCTATTTCAGACTCAGCTGGTGCATTACACTCACTGTGCCATACTATTAAAACAATATGATTTTTTGGTATCATTTGTAACCAAAACATAATTTTAATATTCTTCCATATTCAGAGATGCATAATATTCACATAAATTGCTAGATCAAACCTGTTTTAGCCTTTTTATCTATATTACAGTTAATTTTAATAAATTAGGTGTGTTACACTGTGTAAAAGCTGGAATATGATTTTATTGATGGATGCAAACAAGATTTTCTTCCATTTTCATATGAAATAAGAGATTCTCAGCTGTTATATAGAAAGCTGCTACTCCCTTATCCTCAGTACTTTCCCTTTGTCATGCCTCAAGACAGTCTTACTGGCAGAGTGCCATATGACAATCTGAGTAGTTGACACAAACAGTCTGATCATGTAAATTTGATTGAAGATTACCTAGGAAGTTCATAGCAGGAGCAAGAGAGCACAATCTTTTGGTACATGGCATCTTACAGGGATAGCACGCAAATGATTAATGTGTTAAATATCCCCCCCCACACACAAACACACACAAAAAGCATCTTGTATGAACTGGTTTATGGAATAGACCTGTCTAAACTCTATAATATTAACAAATTAAATACAGATAAAAAGGTATTGATAAAATAAATGCTTCAAAATGGAGTGAAAACATTTTCTTGAAAAGAAGAGGAGCAGGAGAAGCAGGAGGAAAGAAGGAAAGAAAAATGGAAGTTAGGAAGGAAAGAAGCAAGAAGAAAAAGAAAAAAAGGAAAAAAAAAAAAAAAGAAAAAAAAAAAAATATATATATATATATACATACACACACACACACACA